GAAAGAGTGCAAAGCTCCCACATTATTACCCCGAGACTGAAGATATCGCTTTTCTCCGAGAAGGGTTCGTTCCGGATGAGTTCCGGAGCCATCCACTCGGGGGTTCCTGCAGGTACGGTCTCCCTCACGGTGGCTGTATCCGTCATAATCCTCGACAGTCCGAAATCGCAGATCTTGACAGTCCAGTGCTTGTTCACGAGGCAGTTGGCGCTTTTCAGGTCACGGTGGACGATCTTCATCCGGTGTATGCACATCAACCCCCTTTCAGGCAGAACAATTCAAACACAATCCCAACATATGATCAAATTTAGAAAGTTCCGTTACGTAAGCTGCAGATGATATACAAGCTAAATGGGATTCGCAAAAGATATTCTGTTCAGGTTTTCGATAACATTCATTCAATGCCGTTACCCGGACATCACGAAAACGAAAAACGAGATAATATTTTCCTAAAACCCGTGAAGACGAGGCCGAAGCCGGGTACTTCCAAATATCGGACCCGTGCCCAACCCTAAAGAAAGAAGGAAAGAGAGAAATAAAGGCAAAACCTGCAAATGTCACGGAGCATTTTAAGCTTCCGCCGCCAGCTGAACTTGGTCTTATGGCCGCTCATATGGATCAAATAATATAACGATCCCATTTCCATGTACTCTGTGACCAGGGACAGCCTCGGAGGTCTTGTGCATGCTCCCATGAACAGTATCACTACAGCACCAGTCCAAAGAGAATGGATTATACCAAAATAGACTCTCACCAATGGAAATTCCAAATATAGAAAAGCAAGAGGTTGAAGGAGATTACCATTAGGATGACGAAGGCGGCTGGATTTTTTTTTTTGGAGATGAACAAGAGAAAGGCAACAGGACAAAAAGATCAGAAGACAAAGTTGAGATATAAAAAAAAGACAGGGAAAAAAATAAGAGAGAGAGAGAAATGACAAATACCTGAGAATGGATATCTCATTGCAGAAATCTTCCATGTTCTCAACTGTAAAGTCCTGCTCCAGAAACACCTTGACCGCGACGTCCGTTCCGTTCCATATTCCGCGGAAAACTTCTCCGAAGAATCCTGGAGGTAAAATTTATTCGCCAACAGTTTTACGACAGTGCATGAATTGAACTTTGAAAAACTTCGGACCATGTCTTCACGGTTTGAGAAGTTAGTTCTCTTACCAATCCCGACACGAGTTCCAACAGTCAGTTCAGAGAAATCTATGCTCCATTCCTCGTAAGGTAACAAGGGTTTATTCTGGAACATTGGAGATTCCAGCACTTTGTTCCAGATGTTGTTGATGTTATGATGTGGAGGTTCGATCCGTTCAGACGAGTGTCTTCGAAAATTTTGTGGAGACGACGGCAGTGAAACTGCCTTCTGCGGGTCTAGCCGAGAATATGATGTAGACCTTCCACCAGATACTTGGTCATGGGCATCAAGATGGAAACCCGAGCCCTGTGTAGCAGAAAATTTCGTTTCAGACAAGATCTAGAAAACGATTTTCATGCATATAACTGAATTCTAATGATTTTACGAATACAAACCAAAAAGAAACCTGACGTACTTCAAGATGCTGTTAGTTTATCGTTAGTTGCTGTTGAAAAAACGGTATTTTTATTCTCTCGGGCAAAAAAAAAATCGTCACAAACAGAAGCCTCAGCTTTCAAGGTTTCATTTTCATAGATTAGATTCTCTTTTTGGGTCTGAACATTCACTCGAAGTTACCGAATATATCCTTCATTAAACCAAGTAAATACTGAGTAGTTAAAACGTGCGTACATTTTTCAGGAGATGAGGGCTGCCAGTTCTGTCATCCGAAGAGTTGGGAAGTGGAGCATTATCACCTTGCTCTCGCAAGAACCGCTTCTGTTTCAAGGCTTCATTCATTGCTCGTACTGCCCTGAAACAAATTGTCGAGTAAAACTTCTAAGCGACGTATATCAATTAAATCACAAATCCATTTTGAATCTATACCGAAAATTATTGATGCTTTACGAATCTAAAATGTTTTAAAAGTACTTTGTTGCTGAGGCAACGGCAATAGATTTAGATGCTAAAGATACATGTTCATATTACATGATTACGCTTTTAAGATTCAAGAAAAGAATGCTCTTCTCTCTTATCCTTTGATAATTTTCCATAAAAGGAACTATACTGCCAATTATCTTTACATATATAATATTACAACTGATAACCTAAGAAGAATTTCAGTGAATCCAAACTATCAGAGCTATATAATGGCAGCTCTGAAAGAGGGTTATGAATCAGGATATAGAACTATACAATATACATATGCAACATAGATAAATATACTCTAATTCTCCTACTGATAAAAAAATGTCATAAGATGCGGCATACACAACAATGATTAATGTGCCCTAAAATATAAAAACCGACCTTACGATGTCGTCACCAATCTCGGGAGTTACGCTAATGCTTCTCCTCCTTGTTCTCTTAGCTTCAGCTTTTGGTGTTTCATCGGACTTATAACTGCACATGATACTGAAGACATCAGCATCAGTATTTAAGACACAACACTCACAAAAACTATAACCAACCTTGATGTGACAACATCGTCGTTGAATTCTCGGACTGAGTTTCTCTCCCCACTGAGAATGGATCTTGTTCGTGTTCTGAACGATGGATGCTCGGGACTGCCAAAGGCAATAATAGAATTAAAGAATCCAACAAGTTAGAAACAATCGGGAAGCATTTAGGATGGGAACAAATTTAAAACTGTAAACATCGAAACGAATTGGTTTTACAAATTCCAACAGGAAAAGAAATAACCTTGAACTAGCAGCTCGCTGCTCTACGATCCTTCTCTGGCTACGCCGCAAGAATGCAGTCGCAATGTTGGGTTCGCTTCGCGAGAAACTGAGGCAGGAAAAAGAAAGCTTATCCACATACATTTGTAACATGCGCAATTAGCCAAAAAAAGGAAACTTAACGACATACAATCATAATACGTGTTTCCTTGGCTTTCCGAAAACGGAAGATATATTTAAATTTAAGCCCTGATGGTTGAGAAAACAAATATAATCAAAGACGATTAATAGTTATCACCTCAGTTTCCTCTCTAAAGTAGGGGCACGTCGTAATGTTATATTCCTTTGGAACGGAAGGTTTTCGTCTTTTTCTGCGCTGTAACACAACAAAACACGAGTGAATAAGGAGTAAAATGTAGTACTACACATGCCACTGTTATATGTATATGAATATCACCTAACCTTTCATGATCACAGAGGGGACTGCTTGGCTCCAAAGGCGAATCACAAGAGTCATTTTCTACAGAATCACCCTCCCCGGCTGCTGAGATATGAGTCATAAAAATTGCTTTGGTCGATAGAGGAATAAGCTGACCAGGAAAACGCATAAGATCGACCAGCATTTCCACAGAATTGAGCACAACCAAAACAGACATGTGTTTGTATGAATCCACACACTCAGCAGCTCCATCACTTGGCAAACCCTGATCGAACAAATCAAACAGAAATGTCATTCGGTATAATTTCTCGAGAGCGACACCAAAGGGAAAATAGGGAGATATCCATGGCCACTGACCACATAACTCATGCTACTTACCACTAAAAGCCTACTTTCAAGACCAACAGTATCTGCAAGAACTTTAAATAATATTGCTCGAGGACGGCAAGAACCGTGCTTTATCTGTCCTAGTAGTTGAATACCACGACTTTCAGAGGACTGTGCATTTTCATTTAGTGCGGTTCTCGATGGGCTCTGCAGAGTTGTCCGCTTATAAAGATCTGTCACCTGTCAGGAAAGCGTCAAAATTTTAATGGAGGATTCTTGATAATCGAAAAGAGAGAAACTAAAAGATAAGCAAAATGCTTGAGCAGAATCTTTAACAAACTATGATGTCTTATGCACTGTCCAATAAACCCAAGAACAACCATGAGGAACGTAAGCAACCACGGTATAAGTGTTTCCTACTCTGCCTCTTTTTCCTAGTGAAACACAATGAACGAGTAAAATTACAAAACTAATGGCAAGAAATTAATTGTAGTCGTCTTAAAATGTTAGGAAGAAGTAAGGTAAGCTTTGCAGTTTAGGAAAAGAATCCATCGTCCTGTGTCCTCTAGAATATATTATAACAGCAGTCAATCTCAACATCGTTCGTTTTACAAACAAACAACTTATGTTTTGTTGCATGCAGCAATAAGTTGGAACTACAGAATGTCATATGTGAAAACGTTTGCAGAACAAATTTTAAGAGAGAAGATATATCATGCAGTGAAGCAAGAAAAGCTTTAGCAATGATTTGACCTGGTAAAGCACGACAATTTAATCATTCTTACCAGTCCAGTAATTTTTTTAACAATGGTAGCCGGGTTTGAGTTCAATCCTCTGACAAGTGTGACGATCAACTGCTTTAACATAAAAAGCTTTTTATCCTTCTGAAAATCCACAAGAATCACATCGGCCTTTAGACCTTCGTCACCCAGAGCATTAAGTTCGTCCAATGTAGGAATGGTATTAAAACGCTGCCTTAGACTTTTATACTGCAACACATCAAACAACAGAGTGAATTTAAGGCAACTGATTCAACATTTAGAAGTTACCAACTCAAATGCAACTCTCCACAACTCATGTCAGGACTCAGGTGGCACTTGTTAGTTGTGTCATCATGATCCATGCAGATACTGGAACATGTATAGGGGAAAACATAATATCAACATTGAGGAAGCTTACTGGAACGACAGAGTAGAAGCAATTTGGAATCGGCTCAGAAAGCATTCCAGTGCTCCAGAGGACATGCGAAGCCCTACTAGGTGAAAAGCCATCTTGTCCATGGTTTCTGGGCGAGTCTTTGCTGGTCAAGGTTTCTTCTTTTGACCCCAGAGAGATGGATCCAAATTTCTCCACAAATGCTGACGGCCACAAAGTTGCATTTGAAGATCCTCGTCCTGATGGCACTGTATCATCTCGCATCTCCTCCATTGCCTAGATCCTTGACACCTAAAACCATATCAAACCCTCTTTTCTTTACCCATGTAAAAGGGTAAATTGAGAAACGAGGAAAAACATAAGAACAAATACTAAGAAGTAGATGTCCACTACCTTGAGCCCGGGGTCATCTGACCTGCGTAGACAGGAACAAAATGGTTAAGTAATTAGGCTAAATCATGTACTTATGAAAAAAGGAAACAACGCGAAAAGGAACAAATTTTAATAGGTTCAAATCGATTTATGCTCGCACGAATGCATGCATGGGGAAAGAAAGGTTTTTCCTTTTTTGTCTCCACAACTCTATCCAGTGCAATGCAAATGTAAAGTAAAATTTCAAGATTTCATCAAAATTTCTCAAGGCTATCCACGACATATCCACACTTTTGGACATTCAAAGACTCTGCATTCAACAGTAACATAGTACATATGGGCTGTAATACAAGAGCAACAGATGCCAATTGCATCAAATAGAAAAGGTAACCATCTCACAGGATAATGCAACAGATACCAACAGCCTTGATTTGACCCCTTCAAAGGATCAAATCAAGGCTGTTGGATTTACAAGTAAAGAAGCCTGGCGTTAATAAAACGTGTATTTTCAACTAAAAAATACAAAACAAGAAGCAGATAAGCACAGGTATGGATAGAATGAAATCCTTGGCATTCCTAAAAGAATCAAAGAATCCACCCTCACAATTCAGCTTGAAACCTACGTCAAAGCCAAAACCCTTGAAAGGGCCCTCAGCGAGTACCGCGAGCTAACTACATGATCCCAGAAGAATCATCATCAACCAAATTCCAATATCCCACATAAAATCTCCTTCCGTATCACCCCCATACAAGGAATTTAATCCCGCGATATCGTTCGATCTACCCAAAATGTCACTCGGCACTCAACAACAATTTCAACGCAAACCCATCAATTTTAACAATAACGCTAAACCCACTACAAAGTTCGATCGGGAACGAAGCGCGAAAATGTCAAAACAATAACCCGCACAAGAAAAATTCAAGCAAACACAACACGGCTCAGAGAAGGAAAAAACTACAAAAAGGGTTTTAGAAATAACCGCAAGCAGATCCACGCATTCGAACTCTGAACGGTTCCTGAATCAAACTCGAGCAATCCCCAAAACACAGCAGCGAAGAAAACAACTTGATCGCATAGGGGGAGAGAGAGAGAGAGAGAGAGAGAGAGAGAGAGAGAGAGAGAGTAGCAGAATGCCCGAAAAACGCAGATCAAAGACGATCAAGACAGAGCTGCATAGGCAGACACTCGACCATACATGCGAAGAGACGGCGACAGAGAATTATGCGATGGGACTAGGAGATTTGGGGTTTTTATAGTTTTGATTATGATGTGGAAAAAAAAAAGAAGAAAAAAAAAAAGACACTGACGGGATTTTAGGAAAGCGATGAAGTGTAGAGTAGAGATGGGGAGGAGGTCACGTGAGAGGAGATGAGTCACGTGGGAAAAGGAGAGGGGCCTCTCTCCGACAGCCAGCTGGCAACCGCGGTCGTCAGCGTGAATCACTACTGTTGTCATTTATCATCGACAGTATCTATTTGTTGATTTAATTATAAGGAAATATCCGTATTATTACATAATTGTAGTTGCATATTAGTAAAAAAACATAATTTAGGATTTTCATAATAATTTGAAAATTATATATATAATATCGGTTAAATTTTTTATAATACGCTTTATTACAGGTCTCTTCAAAGGCTATGAATATACCGTGCATTAATATTTTTAGTCAACGCAAGTAACATTGCTGATATTCAACTTTTGCATGTTTGTCCATTATAAGAGGTGCAAGTTACAGATGCAAAAAGAAAATTTAAATGAATTCACATTCCGTTAAATCGTGACACATGAATGATAAAAGAAAACTATCTCTAAAATACATAATTATAGTTTTTTTTTTTATAGAATTACTAATTCTTTATAATATAAAAATCCCAAATCATATATAATTTATCCGGAAATTACGGACAATGTTATAGCCATGAAGAATGTAATATTCTTCGCAATTTCCTCATTATGGCACTACAATATATTTTACACGCAAAGGGGTGACTTATTCATATTTTGGTCCGGATTTAATTATTTGATGTTATAAAAATTATAACCGTTCGATTTTTATATTGAATTTCATTCGCACTCGATTCGATTATAACAAAATACTTATTTTATTAAAATAATTACATTTTTTATTGTTTTTATTTGATTGGATCTGATTCGAATTCAATTTTTTTTAATTTTATAAAAATATTCGATTTTATATTAGATTATAATTATAATTATGTGTTATTCGGTTCGAATTGTTTGATTATTAACCAAATAAGTCTACGGGGCAAATATCTTCTAAGATTTTTTTAATCCCATTCTGAAATACACACGTTTAAAAATTATAAGATTAGGTGTACCAAATAATCATTAAAACATAAATTGGAAGCATTACATTATATAAACAAAAACATAAACATTGGGCCAAAATATCTTAGAACGGGCCCACTAACATAATGGCCTGAACCAGAGGTTATAAACCCTAAAACCCCTCAAGTTCTCCCTTACCTTCTTCCCCTAAGGCTTTCTCCCCCCGCCGCCGCCGCCGCCATGATCGAGACCGATGCGGTGCCGCCGTCGAGGGTGACCGCCCAGATGGTGGAGAACGCCGTTAAGGCTCTCCTCAGATGGAGAGAGCAGAAATCCAAGGACGAGAAGCCGCAACTTCTCGAGCAGGACGAGTTCGTCTACTTGTTCGTTACCTTGAAGAAGATTCCCCGGACGAGCCGTACGAATCCGTTCCGGATCCGCCTTCCTCACCCGATTATCAACACGTCTGTAGATTCGCCGGAGATATGTCTCATCATCGATGACCGATCCAAAAGCGGCATCTCAAAGGAAGACGCGATGAAGAAGATCAAATCAGAGGACATACCCATCAGTAAGGTGATCAAGCTCTCGAAGCTGAGGACTAATTATAGGCCGTTCGAGGCGAAACGGAAGCTCTGCGACTCCTACGATATGTTTTTCGCCGACAGGAGGGTGATTCCGCTGTTGCCGAGGTTGCTGGGTAAGAAGTTCTTCAAGAGCAAGAAGATTCCGGTGCCAATCGATTTGAAGCACAAGAACTGGAAGGAGCAACTGGAGAAGGCGTGCGGTTCTGCTATGTTCTTCATGAGGACGGGGACATGCAGTGTCGTCAAGGTGGGTAAGTTAGCAATGGAGAGCGATGAAATCGGCGAGAACGTGATAGCGACAGTGAACGGAGTGGCTGAGATTGTGCCCAGCAAGTGGAAAAGCATTAGATCTCTGCATCTAAAGCTGTGTGAGAGTTTAGCATTGCCCATGTATCAATCGGTGCCCGATTTGAAGCTCAAGATTGATGCTTCTGGAAACGAAAAGGGTGTCAAGGCAGAGAATGGCGGTGAAGAAATAGCAAAGGGTGATACTGATGAAATCAAGAGTAAGGAAGAGAATGCATCAGAGAAGCCGCAGAAGAAGAAAGGGAGGATACATGAGGTTCTGTATATGGACAGTAATGTATCTGAAACGATTGATGGGAAAAAAATCGGTGTCAACAGAGAAGATAAGGAAATCGGTGAGATGGGTATTGAAGAATCTGGGGGTAAGAAGAGGAGGATGAATAAGACTGGTAATAAACCTTCCGAGATGGAGAAACCGGTGAAGAAGGCGATGCAGAAGAGGAAAGTAGACAATGCTAAACAAAAAGAGAAGAGTATAATAGAGGAGCAAAAGCCAAAGAAGCAAAAGAATGGTGGGGAAGAGTTGAACAAGAAGATGATGAAGATGAAGAAGAAGAGTGATGTCAGTAATTAAGGAAAGAAGATGAAGATTGAGCGTGTAATAGAGGAGAAGGAAATGATTCATGGGGTGTGTTAATATACTCATTCTGAGTAATTTTTTTTACTGATTAAGATGTTTTGTCATTTTAAATTCTTGATTGATTTTTGAAGAAGCAACCCATCCTTTTGTTAGACTGATGCTAATCTAAGATGATTCTGGAAGCTATATAGGATATATATATATATATATATATAACAGGAGCCAAACCGGGATGTGATATTGGTGGTATCATGAATTGAGCTAAAGCTTTATGGGTTATTACAATATGTGTAATCTGGACAACGAGGAAAACCCTGAAATGTCAATTATTTTGGACAAACTCCGATCAAATCATATGTTAATAACAAAAAAAGAAGCAAATTCTGGGTGTCATGTTCTAATAACAGGACCTCGGTAAGGAACTCGCCATATGACAAAGTTATCGGGAGGTTGATATTCTTGGAGCCATGTCACGTCTGACACCACCTCTCCGTTCACTTCCATCTCACCTGGGGTTTCACATCGCACCAATAATCCACGAATCAACAAGAAATTACAACACATACCAATATGTGTGTACATATGTACGTATATATCATTGCCCTTTGCAATATAGTTGGAAATTGCATCTATGCTCCGCGTTTTCATAGTGGGACTGGACAGCCATCTCATGTTTTGTGTAGATCAAATTGTGCTTCCTCTCTCAAAGTTTGTTATGGAAGTGGCAATATAACGATTGAAGCTATAACTAATCAGTGGTGTTTTAATAGATTTACATTATATTACCTGGTAAGTCTTGTCTAGGGGATTTCCGGAAGTAGGTGCAGTGCCGTCCATGAGAGGAAGAGTAGGGAGGAGATAGGATGTCGAAGATGGCACAGTGAGTGATGGCTTTGAAACAATGGATGTTGCCTCCGCTTGTGGGATAAAGCAAGGTTGATGGGCAGGGGGCGGTCATCTCGGTATCCTTGACCAGCTTCCCGGCTCTTGCTATGAATAACACAGTAAGATATTATTCCGGTAAGAGCTTTGAAATTTATTCAAACAGCTTAGAATTGATCTGAGTGATTTTACGGTTTGATCATTGCACCTTGTAATGGACCATCTGGTTCAGGAGCATCAGTGTCAATCCAGTCATATGACTTTACATGTAGTGAACCGTAAACGAGCTTGCTTAGCACCGTCATGCCTGGATGGTTATGAAGCGGTATGATAGAGGAAGGTGGCATGCAGAAAATTCCAATCTGTTAGAAATGATAGGTCAGTAATAAACAAGGGAGCAAGATATATGCACATAAAGCTAGTAACAAACAAGATGCTAGGTAAAAGGCAAATGTATAATATGATAAACTAAACAAGATTTCATTTCAAAACTATCAATTCAAAGCACAGCTTGCAGGGTATTGACCTAGTTATTACACAACTCTTTCTCATATATTTTGCAGTTGTTATTATAGAATTTGTTAATGCTGGTAAAATCATCTATGTGAACAAGTAAACTGCAGCATCTTGGTTGTCCGTGACCATGACCATTCCAGATTTTAAAGGAATGTCCATAGAAAAGAAAAAGAAGAACAAAACAGACCTAGTTCAGATTCGAGAAAGAGGAATAGCAAATACAAAGTTCGCTCATTCAGAAATTTCATCATATCACCGATGGTAAGGTTTCTATAAAACACCTAAAAGAAGCATTCCTATCTAAACTCTGTTAAGGTAGAATAGAATTATAGCCTGTGCTCTGATCAAAGCCTCTCCTGTGTAAAATAACAAAAATGCACCTATCTCTCAGGACTGCCTATTTCCTAACTTCAAAACTATGATGCACTTCTTTGACCATAGATGTGCGGGCATACTAAAAAACTTTAAACATGCAACTATTGGAAATATTATCCTGAAATAAGAACTTACAGAAAAGCTGTCACACTCGTGTAAATGGAGGTATTTTATTGCTGGTAGCGTGTGATGGCCTCCATTATGCACATTCACAGGACCAGACCAGGTACGCACCAATTGAGCTTCCTGCTCAAGACCAACATCCGAAGGTTTGATTTTCTCTGAAAAAGAATTTCGTATGGAGCTGTAAGTATTAAACGGGAGCACAACAGTTACCAAACCAAATAAAGAGTGAAAAACCGGAGCATTCCATTCAATAGTTCAAGAAGTATCTCATTATGCCTTAATCTATTAACATGCCAACAGGATAAATAAACAAACATTTGAAAATGCCTGTACTATTCAAATCTAACATAAAAGCAAAACAGATGTCCAGAATAGGCTTTTATAAAATAATCAGAACTCGTCACAAACCCACATTTGTGTACAAGTCAAACATCACACAGAGAACAACACAACCTTAAAGTACATGAAGAAGCAAGCTAGAACGCGTATACAGAATGAAAGAATCTCAAATGTAAGAAACTAAAATCAAAAGACAGTTGATCGATAATCTCTTCATACTAACCCAACACATTGCGAACCTTCTCTAACCCTTCCTCAGATACAGGTCCATCAGTTGAGAAAGAGGACTTGCAAGTATTGTACAGCCTTTGAATAAAATACGGCATGGCACAAGTCCTTGAGCCCTCAACTGAGGAACCCTTTTTGTGGAAGGGGCTCTAATCACGACCGCGTTTTTGAAAGATGGGCAGTGTCTGTTTTCAGTTCTCAGATCCAAATATCAGATATGCATGGCAGACACTGATCACCTTCTGCCCTAATTTACAAGCATCTCCCTGAAAGAGGTAAACACAAACAAATTCAATGCATATACAACCCAAGTGACAAAAGTCACAAAACGCAAAAGGACAATGTCACATCTCAGCATACCCCTTATTACACCATAGAAGCTTAACCAAGATGATTAAACATATTGCCACTTCATATGAATATCACAAGCCGGGAGACTCCCAAGCAACTCACGGCGGATAGAATCTATATCTATAACACAATATCACGAGCAAACTCCGACCAAATCATGATATCCATGCACTAAAAGAAGGATTGCTCGGGGGGCTTAAGCTGGCTAAATGCACCTTGCTAAAAAATTACATATTGAATTGAGTATAAAATGACATGTTTCTGCTTCACAGAATTTGACTATAGAAAACACCTGAGAGCCTCTATCACACAAAATCACCGCCAATAGAATTTAGGTCAACCATTTTGCATCTGAATATTAGCTCAAATTGGACGGAATTGAAAGCATTTACCATCAATTCCTTTAAAATTATTGCAATCCGTGCACTAATGTTTCCGAATGATAAAAACGTCGCACCAAAGCTGAGGATTATTTGGTTGCAGAGAGAAGGCAAAGAGAAAGCAGACGAAGCAGAAAGGATCAAACTGACGAGGAAGACGGAAGCTACAAGCAGAAGAGTACGTCACTCTGAGAATCGAACCAAAAGGAAGACAATTTCATGAAATCAGAGAAACACAAACCTTGTTCGCAGCCGCCTGGAGATGCAGCAGAGCTCGGCTTCGAAGGGAATCCGAATAAACGAAGACGAAGCCACCAGAATTTCGTTTTTATTTTCATTTTTTGTTTCTTCTCCTGTCTCGAACAATAGTTTAAATATCTACTTTGACCCCTAACTTTCAAAAACATTCAAGATACACCCTGTACTTTTAATCCCTGAACGCAGCGCATGCGTAGCTCTGTAAAATAAAATCACGGGATTATATGATAAATTAAAAAGAAAAAAGAAAAAGGGATATTAGCGTGAAGCTCACGCGCGGCTTTGTCGTACTATTCTATTTATCCTGTGTCCCCGTCCTCTGTTTTATTATATCCATAAGAGTGAATAGAATATAGATAGAACCCTAGATTTCGACGAAAGCGAATCGGATCAATTCCAAAGAGAAGCCATGGCAGGAGTTGGACCGATGACTCAGGATTGGGAGCCGGTGGTGATCCGCAAGAAGGCCCCGAACTCCGCCGCCAAGCGCGACGAGAAGGCGGTCAACGCCGCTCGCCGAACCGGCGCCGATATCGAGACCGTCAGAAAATGTTTGTTGTTCTTCTTCTTCGACTTCTCCTCCTTTTCCGTTTGTTTTATCTGGTTCTCCTTCGTAGATGAATATATTCTCGAACTCGGGTGTTATTTTAGGTTGATTGGAGGAAGATTCTGGATACAGGGTGTATATCTTCAGTTTTCTGTTATTATGATTTTCATTTGTGTGCGATATTGTCCTACGATTGAGCTTTCAGGAGGGATTACTTTGTGGTTCTTTAGTAAATAGGGATTTGCTTTTTGATTTTGGGTTTGGTGTGGTTAGTAACATACCGAAGCATTTGGTACTTATAACCGATTGATTTCGTGTTCGAATCGTATTGATTTTTTTGTCTCTGTATAAGGTCTTACGCTTTTAGGAGCAATTTGACTTTTTTTCGGGTGAATTTCGTTGTTGTATATATGGTTCTGGTTATATGGTCCTCCTAATCGGGTTTCCTTTCGTTTTGTTTTCCTCTTTGTTCTCTGGGTTAGTCAATGCTGGGACAAACAAGGCGGCATCAAGCAGCACATCTCTGAACACAAAGAAACTAGATGATGATACTGAGAACCTTACTCGTGAGTATATCTGATCTTTTTCTCTAAGGATAATGATCTGGTTTTTGTGTTGGCAATGAAATGGTAACCTTGTGTTCCCAAATCTGGGTTTATGTAATCATACTGGATAATTGAGTTTCTCATTCATCAGTGGGAATGTGAATGTATACGATAATTGTATCCATGTATTCTGGCAGACTGCAGTTCTTATTTAGGGCCTATCTTTACTCAATTTGGAATATTAGAATAAGCTCTCTGTATGTTCTGTCTCGCTTCTTTTATGTGTTCGCCATTCTTCATTTTCATTTATTGATAGGAACTCTGGTTTGATTGATGGATGGCTTGGGATGCTAGAACTGAAGATTCATGTGGTTTCTTTCAGCAATCTACTGTGTTTGCATCCGTTCATTATGCATTGGATGGTTATATGTTTTTTTCCGTTGGTCAAAACTGGGTATTTATTATGTACAATTAGTATGCGCAATGATATTTGACACCTGGATGTATCGCTATGAAATTAGATGATCGTGTGCCTACTGAACTAAAGAAAGCTATCATGCAAGCCCGGATGGAGAAGAAGCTAACCCAGGCTCAACTTGCTCAAGTAGTTCATCTGTCCCTCCCCATCTCTTGTTACTTGTTAAAGGTAGCTGGGATCGTTCTAATTAGACGCTGTGTGTTGTGTCTGTAGATTATCAACGAAAAGCCACAGGTGATCCAAGAGTACGAATCTGGGAAAGCAATTCCGAATCAGCAGATACTTTCTAAGCTAGAGAGGGCGCTTGGTGCAAAACTGCGTGGAAAGAAGTGAATGAGACCGTGAAAATAAAGTCAGTCACAGTTTCAACTGTCCCTGTGCTGTAGAGAAAAACTGATGCTGTTTTTAAGAGCTTAGTTGTCAAAGATATCGTTTCTGATGTAAGAAATCAGTTGGAATGTGTTTCGGGAATGAATAAACAATCCAGCTTTGCAGTGTGTTTCGTTTTCCTGGAAACTCAAAATCCTTCCCATTGATTAACACGACATGATCCTATTTGAAGTTCCATGTTTATGTATACATGCTTTTGCTAGGCCAGGTTCAGAATTCCGGGACAGGTTCTTCGTCGGGGGAAGCCATGATCCACTCACCATCCTCGTTCTTGATCATCCCTTTGTTCTTCTCCACCCACCAGGACCCTGGAATCAGGTATTCATCCTTCAAAAACTCGCATGACTTGTTCACCAATGCCAGACTTCTCTTCACCATCAGGTGAAACTCTCCCTTCTTCCCGTTCCACCCCGCCACGACATGGAGCATCGCCTGTATGAGAAGGTCAGTCCGTTCGCTCTTATGGTCGTAAGCTTAATCAATTCCTTGTTTGTTCAAATATACGTTCTTACCTGCAGATTGTGCCAGTCGCCGGGAGTTTTTGAATTTTTCAAGTACGGCGACTTCCGGGTATCGATCACAAAATCAATACCGGTGTCAACATAGTGCAGAAATGGTCCTGGGTAGCGAGTTAGGAGGTCGATTTTGTTCCTCACATGGAGGATCTTCAGGTTCTTGTGACGCATCACTTGGTCGTTGAACTCCTTGTTACCTACCTGTGGACAACCAAATACAATGGCAGTGACTGGAACAGTATCTGCCACTGCATTCTCGGCTAGGTCAAAACTGGCGAGAATGGCTTCGGTTGCTCCCAAGCTATGCCCTGTCACGATCACGCTCGGGTTTTCGTCCTTGTACTTCTCCATCAATTCCTTGATCTTGATTAAGAGCTGTGACCGCAAACTCAGATTGGTGAACCGAGATTTCGGGTTGTGGGAAGTATAGATTGTGAACCATCCACTCATCACCTTCGGCACTCCACTCTCGTCATCACTGTCACTGTCACTGCCACCGATGACTATGGCGTCCGTGACATCTTGACCGGCTCCATGCATCAGCGGTTCATTCCACCGTTTCGTCGCCGAGCGTCAGTCGGCCATCACGAACGTGGACAATGGCATCTACAGTGTTTAAGAATGGTCGCCCTAGAATAATCGGGATTTTGGCGTCTTCGTCCATGTCAAGCACAACGAAATCGACCGGTACGTAGTTATCACCTACTTTCAACGGAACGTCCTCGAGAATACCCAGAGGGTATTTGATAGAACGATCAGCTAGTTGAAGAGCCATGCGAGTCGGTTTGAGTTCTCCAACGTTGAGTTTCTTGTAGATGGAGAGTGGTATGCCACGTAGATTTCACGGCGGCCCAAGTTCTTACTCCGTTCATCGGAAGTCACGGCTATGTACCCGAACCAGTTGGACTCGCGGTCCCAACACTCCTTGGAGAGGGAGTGAAGGATAAACGCCTTGGGGACACTGATACGAGCGGTGGCGTAGAGGAAAGAATATACGTTATAATCGGAGGCAGAGTCGAGCATGACCTTGTCGAAGAAAGAGGACTTGCCATAGCGGCTAGCTCCACAGTACTTGGAGTTCTCGTCGTTGTCGAAGGCGTCGTAGGTGGCCTGGCAGAAGTCGCCGCACCGGAGGATGATGGTTCGGAGGGTTTGGTCCAATGGGTCCAAGAGATTTTCCCAATTCTTGGAGCCTAAGTGCTCTCCCCATGATGGTTCTGCTTTGGGTGTAGCCATGGGGAATGAATGAGGAAAGTGTCTTTGGTTTTTGTATGATTTTTAAAAAATAAAAAAGGGAGGGCTCCCTTTTTGAGTGGTGGAGGTGATGATAATGAATCATGGTGTATGGCCCACCTCTGTCCTATATATACATACACGTATATAAAGACATATTATATGGATAACAACGGAATCTGGGTTGGGTTAGGTTAGGTCCGAGAAAAACGTGGATGGACCGACATAATATGCGAATCATTTCACATACAGTGCATTCACTTCACAAAAGGATCAAATATCATCCTCAAACATGTACATTGATAATTAAAAAGAACACACGCATAAGAGATAGATCAATCGTGGAACTCGGCCACGGGCAAGTCCTCGTCATGAGGAGTGGCCATGACCCACTCTCCATCCTCGGCCTTCAGCAGCCCTTTGTTCTTCTCCACCCACCAACACGGTGGAACCAAACACTCTTCCTTCAGCAGATCGCACGACTTGTTCACCAACGCTATGCTCCTCTTCACTCTCATCTCGAACTCCTCCCTCTCCCCATTCCATCCCGCTGCCACGTGTAACATCGCCTGTAATGCAAGCTAACTGGTTAGATCACGTAGTTTCAGCATAAAATCTGATTATATATGTATATATATATATATATTATATATGTATGTGTGTAGGTGGGGTTGCCTGGAGGTTATGCCAGTCGCCGGGGTGGTGAGATTCTTTGAGGAAAGGAGATTTTCTTGTATCGATCTTGAGTTTGGTCCCGACGCTTACGTAACCGAGGATCCGACCAGGGTAGCGTGTTATCAGATCTATCTGGTTTTTAACGTGCAGTATCCTCAGATTCTTGTTCAGTTTGATTCTGTCGGCTAATTCCTTGTTGCCCACTTTGGGAGAACCGAACACGATGGCTGTCACCGGAACATTATCATCGCCGCCCGTCACGTTCTCGGCCAAGTCGAACGCTCCTAACGTCGCCAACGTCCCGCCCAAGCTGTGTCCCGTCAGCACTATGCTCGGCTTCTCGTCCTTGTATTTCTCCAACAGTTCTTGGATCTGTATCGGGAAATTATAGCACGTTTTCGTTAGGGTAAATACGTAAAATCTTGAACCGAATCATTCACTGTGTATGTATATATATATATACGCACACACCTTCCTCAGAAGCTGAGAACGAGCGCTCATCTTCGTGAACTGCGATCTTGGATTAGCGGTCGTATATATAGTAACCCATCCAAGCATGGCTTTAGGACCGTCATCGTCATCGTCCGCCAGGCCGTCTCCTCCGCCGCCGCAGTTGCCGTCTCCGCCGGTCAACAAGCATTTCAACGACGTCAGCTTCGCACCCAACACGTTGATCCACTCGTAGTTCCTCGTGGTCCCACGAAACACGACGTAAATCTCTCTCCTCCCGATCTCTGCGGTCCGTGCGTCGGACGTCACGGCCACGTACCCGATCCAGTTGGTCTCGCGGTCCCACGAGTCGCGCGACATGGACTTAAGGAAGAAGGCCTCGTGGTCGCTGACTCGGGCCGTGGCGTAGAGGAACGAGACGACGTCGTAGTGGTCGGCGTCGTCGAGCATTACCTTGCGGAAGAAGCTAGGTTTCCCGTAGCGGCTGACGCCGCAGAAGGCGGAGTTGGGGTCGTTGACGAAGGCGTCGTAGGTCGCCTGACAGAAGTCGCCGGCGCGGAGGACGAGTCGCCGGAGAGAGACGTTCAGTGGGTTCAATAGGCCTTCCCAGTTGTTGCGGCCGAGCAAGTCTTCCCATGTCGGCTCCTCCGCCGCCGCCATTGCTGCGGCAACACAGACAGGGACGGAGAAGGTTATGTCTGTTTTTCTTGTCGTGTAGCGGTAGGAAATTAATGCTAGACAGATGGTTTAAATAATCAGTCGTGTGATCCACTCTCTATTTGCACTAATTATAACGAAATCCAAAATTTATTTGAATTAATCAGTTTTTTTCTAAGCTGTAACACTTTTTTTTCCCTGATGTTATGTTTAGATGGAATGATCTCCGTTGCAGAAGAATATCCCTCAAAAGTCTTTGTTTTTATTTTTTGTTTATTGCCTTCTAATAATAACTTAAGACCACTCTGGTTACTTCTAATTGTATACTTTTACCATTATATATATATATGTCTCTATGTGTTTTCATATTGCTCTGCTGGATTTGACTAAATCTTTCATTCCTTGTAAATTACAGGCTTTGACCAGTTTGTTCCATATTAAATTATTTATATAGTGGATAATACCCAAACCAAATCGAACGATATACAATTACTTGTATAAATTTTAGAATACCAAATAAATCGGTTTCGAAACGAACCACTAAAATTCTAATTGAACCATTCAAATTTGATAATTTGAATCGATTTTACAACCAACATATCAAAATGAAAATTTATTGGGCAAAACATTCACTATTCATTTTTTTAAAATTTTTGGTCCTTAATATTTCTTTTTATTCAATGTGAATTAAAAAAAAAAGTGGCAGTAGATACCCAAAAAAAAAAAGAAAAAAGGAGAGATATCTCTGACCCCCTTAAACGGTTAAACCCCAAAATCGCTTTGTCGCCGAAAATCCTCTGTGGAAAGAGAGAAGGAACGATGGCAGCCATGAAGCTTCTACTCTCGCAAGCTCGCCGCCATGGCCTCACCAAACAATTCTCTTCTTCATTTCCACACTTTCCCAGACTCCTCTCTTCCTCGTCTTCTTCATCCTCTGATGCTAACCCTTCGTCGGATCCAAACTCGAATCCGCCGCGGAATGAATCCCTGAGAAAGCCCGTCACGATCGAACCAGTATCGTACGCCGCAAAACCCAAGGACCCCTCCGTCGCCGAAGATGCTTCTCCGCCGGCCCCGCGGACCGAATCGGCGCATAATCGTCAGTCGCAGTGGTCTCCGGATTCGGCGGAGACTCGTACGAACTGGACGCGCGAGGAAATTCGCTACGTGAAAGACGCTGCTTCGATCTCGCCAGTGTCGTACCCTAATCGAGTGGCTCCGCTTCCGGAGGATCGAGTCGCGGCAGAGACGGATGGGAACACGGAGGAGATGAATCAGGAGAGGGTGAGGATTGAAGCGGAGAATCGGACCAGGAGAAGGTATTTCAGAGCTGCTCCGGCGGAGGAAGACACTGCTTCGCTTCCATTGCCAACATTGCTTAAGTCGGACCTGAAGCAGGGG